GACAGTTTTGAAAAAGTATGTATGTTTTGATCATTTGGATTTTTATGGCGACATATAAGTCGTTTTCATTTTGATACACTGACAGAGAAGCCCTTGGTGCTTCATTCCATTAGAGTTTTATTCCATTTGCATGGTATAAGAACCTAGGTGCTATAGACTTTAATAATAATAATAATAATTTAAAATTCTATTATATCATTCCTGCCATTGAACTCAAATGTCATTACAAATTTAGCACCCCAACCTTGAGGTACCCTTTTGACATCATCAGAGTTCACAAGTGTGGACAATGCTCATACATTTAACTAGGTATGCTCTCTTGAAAACCTAACTTCTGTAGGATCTTTTAGTTTAGTGCATCTTCAAAAACATCAATCTACCCACGGGGAACCTTGCATTGCACCAAAACATCAATTTGAAGGTCTGAAGGCCCTAATCTAGAGCTCTTTCAAGAAAGAAGCTCTCGTTAACAATATTTGGAGAAAATAACATCGACTATTCGTCTTTATTTACTATCTCACATTGTGGGGTCCACTCGCTTGTCATGAATTGGTACAAAACCATAATCTAAATTCTAACCATATGTAATTTGAGGCTAACTCCACAATTTTAAAAGCTTATTGGCAGAGTTTTTGGGAGAAAGTGAACCATGGTGCTGCTTTATCATTTTAAAATGATTTTGTAGTATTCAAACTGATCTATGTAGGCTTTGAAGATGTATTCCCTCTATTTGGACACCAGTTAGCAGTATAAACTGTAAACTAAACAAGCCTCTTTGCAGTTACTCCTGTGGTTCGCTGTTTGAAATTTTAAATTTGAAAGATGTTTATTAAATGGATCCATACAACCTTTCATGAAACTTTCTTTTACACCCTAAGGTCAAGAAATGTAGTCCCCATGAAGATATGGATGGGCAGATGAATTTGAGTTAATTTGATAAACCTTAATGGCGCTTGTCTGAATGATTGAATCTCCATTACTAAATTGGCCTATTCGTCAAATCCAAACTGGGCATATGGGCATTGTTTAGTACAAAGAATACTATGAAGCAAAATTCAGTCATGTATGATTTCCTAGGATGAGAAAAGTTCTTTTGAATCCTTGATCAAAGCTTCTTAATTTGCTGTTACTAGATTACACCAATTAAGTTGAAAAGTGGTCGTACGAAACAACGGAAAAATAGTACCATCTTTCATTACCTTTTGCCTCCTTCCTCTCTAGCTGTTAGTGTACAAGACCTGTGAATTTCTCCTATTCTGTTCTTTCTGTGCTTGTTTTTTGTGGGCAGGATTCTTTACATGAGTCAAACTGAAATTATAAAATATGGGAAGCCCCAAGAAAGTTTGTGGAGGGTTTCCCATGAACAGTATGTTGACCAGGGAATGTTTTCCTTTCATCTTATTCTGTCTGGCATCAACTTGAGCTCAACGCAGTGTCGTTATCATTGGATATATCTCCTTAACTGTCATCATTATCATCATCGTCAAAGCCTTTTCCTAACTAATTGGGGTCGGCTACAAGAATCTTGGTCTCCTTAACTCTAACGAGTATATTTGATCTCACATCGTTGTGAGTGAAAAAGGTAAAAGCAATATACAAATGCTTACGTGGCTGTTTGGTGTAGGTATGGATGTTGGCATGTGTTTTAATGCAGCCTCATATGGTTGTCTAAGTGAACAGAGCTGGCCGAGGTCAGGTTTCTCATTCAAGTGTGACAAGACTGTTTATACCCAAAATAGAGAGGAAATACTTGAGAATCTCTCTGCTCTGATTTTGCCTAAAGAAGATCAATGAAAATTTGAATTGATAGAGATTTGGGGCTCAGTCAAATGATGAAGCACTAAATAAAAATCCGCCAAAATTAAGGGACCATAGTTTTGAAAGCACTTTTTCTTGAATGACAATGAGCTAGCATGTATTATAGTTAAACATAAGGAAAACTAAAGGGAAATGACTTACTTTGTTAAGCTGGGCCCATAGGCCAGACACATGGAGTTGGGGCCTGAATCTACCAAAGGGGGCGGTGTCAGCTTTCTATTCAGTCTTTCAAAATTGCTTGAACTAAAGATGTACTGGTAGGAATGTCTTGAACTTGAATGTTGGAAAGGGCTTATAAAGTGAAAGTTACAATGTTGGGTCGTGGCTGGGACACACACTAGGTCAGCATTTTTTTGAAGATTTGGTTCACTCTAGCCGTTTTCTGGATGTTGCTGGCCCAAACAACAATTATTGTGTCTCTAGCACAAGCCATTGAGGACTAAAATGAAATTCTTGATAGACAATTTGGCCATAACTTTCATACCACGCATCAGATTTGAATGATTCTTTGATTGTTTGAACGCTTATGATGTCCGCTTATGACGTCCACTACAATCTAGAATCAAATTTGACTTAATTTGGATGAGCTTTGTAGGGGTTATAGTACTTAGACTCTAAAGGATTGGTTTGAGGCCATGCCACTTTAGCATAATTAGGAAGGTGTCTAACCTAATTTGGAAAAAACTTTAGCATCAAATAAGTTGTTTTAAGGTTATCTATTGTGTTTCCCTAATGGTGGATGTGTAACACTTTTAAGTTGTTTTGGTAGGGGCTTGTCTTTCCCACTGAATTACCCAAAAAAGAAAAAAGACTTTTAAATCGTTGCTAAGGTTGTAGGGACCATTGGAATACGTGCACTATGGACTATCTAGCCTAGTGTTGTTTAGAGTAGAGTTATGGGATTTAGGTGGGATTAAAGGTGGGCTTTAGGTTAATGGTACCTTGGGCAAGGTGACAAGGGCTTGATCTAGGACAATGGGCGGGGTCCGGTTATGGGTCCAAACCTTGGACCCACGCATAGCGTCTGGGTCCTTCATAATGGACCCGAAGATTCACGGGTACGAGTCCGGGTACTAGTGGACCCGTCCCATACCCGACCCGGGACTTGAAGTTTGCCACCCCTTTTGAAACCTAACCTTCATTTTATAGCAAACCCCCTCACATTACCTCTCTAAATCTTTCGATGTGGGGTTAAAAGATTTTTCCAACCCATAAAGCAACAACAATTCTCTCTCTCTCTCTCTCTCTCTGTAACCCCTCCCACCTACGGAGAAGTAAGTATAAAGTGATAAGAAGAGAGAGAGGCTGTTGTCTATAGTTAGCCTTAAAGAGAGGGGCATGTATTGACTGGAGAAATCTGAACCACAAATTTCGCCATCATCAAGGGCGTACAATACAAACAGTGTGTGCAGGAGTCTGAACGAAGAAAACCCAACTCCAGTCTCCGAAATAATTGTCGGAAAATCACAAAATCAGGCACTCCCAATACCTAAAACCCCACCTCTTCCTGTCCTTGAAAGACTGTCTCTCCTCTCCTCTGAGAAAATCCCTCCTCTTCTCTTGCTTGAGCAAATACTATCTTTTCCATCCCTTGTTATGGAGGTTTAGCAGTTAGGAAATGCCTATGGTCCAATTACTCAGCAAAAGAGAGAGACCCCCATGGCAGTTTTCTTGTAAACTTGTTAGAAAACCAGAGATTTTGGAAAAGAAAATTGGGATATGATCATTTCTTCTTTTTTTTTTTTTTTGAAATGTTGACATTTGGGTTCTGATCATTTCATGATGCTCGGTCGAATTACTTGGGATTTCAAGCGATCGAAGGATGAAGATTGGGGTGGGAGCGTCCTTCATATGCCTGCCATGAAAAATGTTACTCGTTTATTAATTGAGAGAAACCCATGGGACTAAAAGAACGTTGGAGTTCCTTATCCCATTGGTCTTGCAACTCCATCTCTTACAACCTTCATCTACGATAAGTACAGGATGAGGTCCTATCCCGTTGTCAGGGTCTTTTGCCCATTCTCTCTCTTTGCCCCTTTCACTTTTTGGGTTTCTCTCCCTCTTTTGACTACCACCTAGTCTCTGAGAGAGACCTTTGCAAACCTTTTAAGGGAGCGGCGTTTTGGTTTCCACAGACCTCAAGCATACCTGGTTATGGCAGGAAGATTAGTCCTACATCAATGGGAATAGAAAGAAATAAGTGGGTTGAGATTTATAAAAGTAGAGGCATTGGGACGCTTTCTTCCCAAACCCCCTCATTGGCTAGTGTCGACTACAGGTCCAGGTCCCGGTTCAAACTTGCCCAACAAGTACGGGTACGTCTATTTGGACCTATTGGGTCCGGGTCCGGTTGCATATAGTCTATTTTGGGTCTGGGTCTAGCTGGACCCGACCCATTGCCACCCCTAGCTGGATCCCATGGTTTAAGGATTTGGGCCTAGAAACCATAGCCAGTGTGAGGAATCTACAAAATACATTGTAAGATGAGAATAGCTCTATATCATGTTTCATGCTCTACTGATACGGCCCTTTTGTGTGTCATAATGCATTTATAGGTGCAGGCTTGGGTGGAGCAGTTCTTGTATTGTATTGCCTTGCTACTTATCACAATTACGAAGATTTAAGCTTTGTAAGTTGGACACATGTATTCACTTATATGGGCCCATGTCGAAATACCAAAGACACGATACACATGTTTGATACCTGAGAAACTTAGACACTTCTACTAGACTTTTTTGTTGTAATTTTTAAATAAATGACCTTAATGTCCTTGAGAATCCCACCTACCAGCCCCTCTAAATGATGCATGGAGTTGTGTCAAAAAGGCCAATTGTCGGTTTGGTGTTTTTGTTACAGTATCCATGTGGGACGCCCACTCATATCCATGTTGGATTGATGTTTCAGTTATGACACTATAGTAATTTCGGGAAGATTTGATATGTCTGTAGTAACCTTGCTACCAATGATGTGATTCATTGTGGGTTTCAGCTTTTAAAAGACATCTGCACTTTTGCTCTAAGCTTTTTTTTCTTTATTTGCTGAATTACTTGGGTTATGCCTGGTCCCTACTTGCAAGAAAAATGTTTTTGATTTTCATATCTTTGATAACCTCTTTGGAAAGTAAATGTTATTAGTGGTCTAAACTTTGTGTTATATATTAAATATTAAAAGTCTTTGTGCAGGGGAGGAACTAATCTCGCCATGTATGTGTAAAGGCACCCAACAGTTTGTTCACCGGTCATGCCTCGATCATTGGCGCTCAGTGAAGGCAATTCCTTCTTTCACGAACTTCTAGAGATTTTGTTTTCTTTTAAACCCAAAATTATTGTGAACTCCTGGGCAACTTAATGAACAAGTAGGCTTGCTACTGAATTTACTGAGCTGATGTGATCAATATTTCTGTTGCTAGGAAGGATTTGCCTTCTCACATTGCACAACTTGCAAGGCACAATTTCATCTTCGGGTGGAGCTACTAGAGGACTATTCTTGGCGAAAAATAAAATTCAAAATATTTGTCGCTCGGGATGTTCTCCTCGTATTTTTGGCTGTACAAACTGTAAGAGGTTTACAAAGACCATGTCCTTATTGGGTTTATTCTTATTGGGCTGCATATTTGTGCATATAGCCATGTTATAACTTTAGCTGTTTCATGTTGCTTGTTAGTCCATTGTTTGTCTATTTATTTCATTCGATGTATTAGAAAGGCTTAAGATGCATTATAGAGGTTATTAGGAGATAGAGCTCAATGGAATATCTTGGGATAGTACGATGATGCATATTGTGTTGGGATTATTGTGTGATGTGGATAATCTATTGTACTCATATTATAGTCTCTTTGTCCCCTATCTCATGCTTGTTCCTCTTATTGTAAAGTATTCATAGATCTTGCAAATATTTTTGTTTCTTTTTACTGGGAATGTCTTCTTTCACATGTTAAATCAAGGCGTAGTTGTGGTCTCCCAGTGCTACTAGTTATGAGTTTCATTATACAAGGCATACATTTGTATCATGTAAGAAATATAAAATTTTCTTAATTTTTGGACAAACCATAAGTTCACGTAGTACTGTGAACTTCCGAGGATTTCTCCAATCCCACATCATATGTTTAGTTTCTCGTAAATGTATAACTATTCTTCTTTAGAATCACATTTGTGAAACAGTTGGAATAGTTTGCACTGGAATCTAGATTATTGCTTTCTTTTGTTTGTATGTACAAGTGCGTTGTCCTAAGACTATTGACACAGTGCCATTGTTTTAAAAAGTGCTAGGCGGTACCCAGGCGGCTGGGGGGGTCTAGGCCGCCCAGCGCCTAGGCGGCCCAGTTGAAAATAAAAAAGATGGAAGTTGAGAAGAGTTGACCATAATCCATATTTTCATACAATGCTAAAACAGTAAAACCATACAAGCATACACTAGTAGTTTAATACACAAACGTTAGATAGTAGAAAACTAGAAAGTAGAAACTAAAAATAAGAAAAAAAAAATATACAAAAATTCAGAAAATATACAGTCTAGGACACAATAGTCAACACTCAACAGTCAACACTCAACACTCAACACCAAGAGTCAAGCACTCAAGCGTCTTTAACTCTTCATTCTTCAGTCATCATCATCAGAAAAAATAGGGTAAGCCTCATCATATGCATCAGATTCAAGGCCATCATCTTCAGAGTCATCTGCTTCTTCAATATAACGTTCGTCCTCTTCTCTTTCTTCTGAATCTGCATCTTTCTCCTCCTCTTCTTCTACCTCCCACTTACTATGTGTAGATGAGGCGCTAGGAGTCTTGGCTGCTCTACTCTTTTTTATCTTTTTGTGCTTCTCTGAACTCAAATATTGTATAATCTCCTCCCTGGTAGCCTCAAAAACTTTTTTACATGGGCCAACATCCCCCTTAATACCGACAAGGTATTTTTTGAAGCGGTAAATACCCCCATTGGTATCCTTTCCACAATAATTATAATTAATACGATTTTTATCATTCGGATTCGGGTTATAACCATACTTCCAACCCGGATCACTACTTCTAGAATAACCTGGAGAAAGTATTTCCATAGAACAAAGCTCATTTTCATCCTTTCTAGTTCTTCTAATTTTAGAAATTGTCTAATCTCATCCCGAATAGCTTCAGGAACTTTTTTACAAGTCGCAACATTCCCTTTAATATCGGCAAGATGTTTCTTGAATCGCTTAATACCCCCATTGGTATATTTTTCACAAAAATTACACCTTATACAATTTTATCGTTTGGTTTCGAGTTATGGCCATACTTCCAACCCGGATCACTTCTTTTAGATGAACCAAAAATAGATATATTCAAATGACATTTTTTTTCCTATTTTTGTTTTACAGAACTTGCTTAATCTCCTCGCTGATAGCTTTAGGAACATTTTCCAAGGGACAACATCTCCCTTAATACCGACAAGATGTTTCTTAAACCGGTTTATACCCCCTTTTGTATCTTTTCCACAATAATTGCATCTAATACAATTTTTGTCATTTGGATTTGGGTTATATTCATTTTTTCAATCTGGATATTCACTTCGACTAGATCCTGAAGAAGACATCTCAAAATAAAACAAACAATCTAAAAAATAAAGTTTTGCACTTACTTTGATTGCTCGAACTCCAAACTCCCACCTTTGATATGTTTTTTGGTGCTAAAATATTTGAAAACACCATCTAATAGGATTAAAAAACTCCAAAACTATATCTAAAGTGATGTTTGGATCTATTTTCTGTTACTTTGAGAAACACTTCGATCCAATGAAAATCACAAAATCTAGTTTTTTTAGGTTCCTTTCTCTCTAAAATGGGTTCTTATGCGTTTAGGTTTCAAATGAACTTAAAACCCATCCTTAAAAGCTTTTATTTTTCAAAAAAAATCAATAGAATAAAAAAAAAACTCATTTCCGCCCCTAGGTGGGGCACAGGCCCTGGGCAGCCGCCCACGGACTGCTGCCTAGGCCTGGGCGATGTGCCCTGGCCTTCTAGACTGCCTAGGTGCTGGGCGGTCCGCTTTTTTGAACAATGCATAGTGCTAGTTTGTATTTTTTTGTATTTTTTTTTCAATGTCTACTCAACCTTCTTTTTATTTCTTTTTACCGAACCCACTCCGCTTTCGAATGCTTGGGATTCTTTAATTTCATTTTGCTTCTTCATCTTGTTTTTCACCTGTGGGCTGGTGTGGACATTGAACAGGTCCTTCAATGCCAGCCAATATTGGTACATGGGCCAGTCATTAGTGAACATGATGCTATGTTTGTTCACATGAAAAATTTTGAACTGTTGCCACCCATTTATCCAACTCCTCATTTTTTTTTTTGATGGCACTGTTAGCCCACGGGGTATTTTGGTCAATTTATATTTTACGAATTATTTTTTTTATATTTTTATTAGGTGCGCCTTGATGAGTAGATTGTATGCCTAAATTTTCGACTGATTTGGATTTTTAGAAAAAAAAATGAAAATGAAAATACCAAATAAGGTCGTGATCGTCAGATCGGCCCAGATTCAATCTGGGCCATTGGCTGACGCTGTAGCAGTCAACCCGTTGGCTGACAACATCTATTCCCTATATATATATATATATGTATATTTGAGATTGTATACTATGAGATCTTCTACTTTTGATACAAAGAGGTCACAATTACTTACAACTATCCAATGTAAAATTTGATAGCTTGGGTGTGTTACGAAGTTCGAGAAAATTTCTTTTGAAGTTTGAGCTTGGTCCATGGAATAAATGTAGGCATCCAATTTCACATCCAATGGTCAAGATCAATTGTGATCGCCTTGTACCAAAGGTAATTGGTCTCATTGTATACTTTACCTATATATATATATATATATATATATATATATATATATATGTTGTTCTTGCCCTTGATTAACACTTGGATTCATGGGAAAAATGCTAAATGTATAACTCATTCATAAGAAACACTAATTCTAGCCCTTCGTTTTCTTAAAAATAAACTTCCAACTTCTTCCCTTCCCTCAATTCTCTACAACTGAATGACACATATCCTGAGATAATTAACAAGAACTAAAACACCAAATAAACCTAGTGTCCGTGACTGCATCAAATTATTTAAGAGTTGTAATGGTATCAATCGACAAATGTGGGCTTACTTTAGAAATGTGGGGTTGTATAATCTTGTTTTGTAGAAATGGTAGAATATAAGGCGGCCTATATTGCTTACCTTTATGCTGACCATATAAATGATTTTTTTAATGCCAAGTATGTAGTCCTCATAAATCTCCAGATTTGTTGGAATGCATTTATGTCAATAAAATGCTGTATTTTGTGGGAGGAGGAAATAGAGGTGCAATGAGTTGTGGATTTTGTAAATGAAACCTAGATTTCTGTATTTATGTAATAAAGAGGCACTAGGACAAGTTATTCTCAGTAGGCTCTGGATATACTATTTGATAAGTTAACATTGTTTCCTTTTCTTTGTTAATTGATTAGTTAACTTGATAAAAAAGTTTAAAACTATACTCCTTTATATGGAATCGAGTCCATTTATTGAGTACCATTATTCACATGTAGGGTGTGACTGTTGTCAGAAAATCTATTTATAGGGTGCATTTGATTGATGGCTTTCCTACTTTTTTTTATGTGATATACCAATGAAAATTTCTGTCCCAGTACTATATACAGCGCTTAAAGCAAATGCACAACACTTTTTTTGTTTAAAATGTTTTGTTTGGTGGACACAGCCATGGGCAGATCCTCGGGTGCGGCCACCACCACATTACATCTGAAGGTTCACAATTTGTTTTATTTGCAGGCAATTTCTTTGATGGGTGGTCTTGCTTATTTGATGGATACAAATGGGGAATTCAGGAATTCTTTCAGTGATGGATGGGACCGTATATTGTCGAAGCATCCAATACCGTTCTACTACTGTTTTGGTATGCATTGTTTAATCTGATTTACATATTCATTGTGTGTCTTATCATATGTTCCATTTCATGTATTGCCCAGAGTTAACAAGAAGCAGCAGTTTTGTTTGTCTTCGTGACTACCAAATTGATCACCATATCTGTCTCATTTAGAATTGGGATAGTATACAACGATCCAATGAATTATGGTATATGCTACTCCAAGTCATATCCACCTGCCCTTACCACTGATGGTCAGAGATTAACACATGCTGTACAACCTCCACTCTAGCGAATAACCTTGGAGTAGTCTGTTGAACCATAGGATATTTTCCTCTTTTGCAATATCTAGTTACTAACCATATAATTACCACTTTTGGGAGGAGAGTATGACTTAGAAGAAGAGGGGCCTCAGTTCTGGACCCACTCTATCCCTAGAGCATCTGTTTAATTGGCCAGTCACAACCTCAATGGGCTTCAGTTTTACATGGTTGGACTATGTCATGCTCTTCCTTCACATAAACTTGCTATTTTGTTGATTTTCTGTATTATATACTAACTGAAAAATGGTATCTTGCATGGTCTTCGCCAGGGGTTTTTGTTTTCTTTGTTATACTGGGAATTGGAGGGTTGTTAGTGCATTGCTCGTCCATCAACAACAATGATCCCTGCATGGCTGGATGCCGCAATTGCTGTTATGGATGGGGCATTTTGGATTGTTTTCCAGCTTCCATGGAAGCTTGTGGTGTTTTGCTTGTCATATTTGTTGTCATTTTTGCCATCCTTGGAATTGCATATGGACTCCTTGCTGCAACCATGGCTATTCAGAGGATATGGCAGAAACATTACCACATTCTCACCAAGAGGGAGCTCACAAAGGCAAGAATCCCATTCCTCCCTTGATTTATCTCCAATTCGCTTACCGTGTTTTCTTTTATCTCTTGCTTTTATCGGAGATGAATGTGTAAGAACAATGGGGCATGGTATGTAGTGTACTTTCAAAGGGGAATCTATTGTCTGTTCCCAACGTTTGGACAGTGGAGACTAACTGTTCCTTAATGAATGTACCAGTGGGGGCCCTCCACAGGTCATCTCCATTGTCCATCATAACGAATGGATGGGTGCTTGCTTTGGGACTACTGTATTGCCTGCTCCGTTGGATTATAGCCTCTCTTTTTACTAGATGTCATCATCAGACCATACTTTTATTTTGTTTTTTTTGAACAGTGACCATACGTTCATTTTGTTATTACTATAAATAAATAAATAAATAAAAAATCCCATATTGATGCAGGAATATGTTGTTGAAGATCTTCATGGGTCCTATACACCTCCAAAACTGGACCATGAACATGAAGAACGGCTGAAGCAGCTCAAGCTTTTGTAGATATTGACTGCATGTTTGTCAGGCCCTGAGTTCAGGTTATCCGTGTTATTAATAGGAAAAGGTGATAGTTTGTTTGTGCTTTTTCTTCTTGGTGGATTGAAAGCATCAAATCTATTGGGTATGTTGCGTCGCTGGCTTTTCCGAAATGATGGCAAACATATAATATCCATCTGAAGTTGGTGTCAAGTGTGTTATGCTGTAGTGACTAGCCATGCTTGCATTTCATCGCCTGAGTTGTCTTACCTCGCCATCTGGTGATCTTTGTGAATCCCATCCAAAGCAATCAATAGGGGTTTGATGCACCATATTACTTTTTGTAATAACCCCTTTTGGGAAAAAAATTATTCTTTGAAAAAGCTTGTTTTGATGATGGAACAATATGTAATTGATAATCTCGACATCAAGATGTATAGATATGGCAAAAAAAAAAAGAAGAGATTTCAAGTATTAAAAAATAGTACATATTGCGACATATTACCTGGACTGTCTATGTTTTAGATTTTAATGCATTTATAGATCCGCTTGATCTAAACTATTTTTGAAGTTCAAATTTTTATAATTAGATATAAAAATATATTTTTGCAACGTCCTAAAAAATTTTTGAAATAAAAAATTGCATCTCATGACAAAGCTTGGAGGCAAACGTTGATTGTTTTCTTGGTTAACGTTGCAACTTCGTGCAAATCACACCTTTTTTGTTTTTAGTTTTTCCTACTTTTCTCTCCTTTTCCTACATTATTTTCCTTTTCTTTTTGTAGGAGGCTCATGAAAATTGAAACGATGGTTAAATGGATGGAAAATTGCGAGTATGATATCAGGTTTCTGTTTGATCTACTTTGAGGAGCCCTGGTGATATGAATGGCGTCTCCCTTTTGATGAGAATATTCAATGGCTTTCATCTCAATCTCCCATCGACCAACTTCATAGTGCTTGTTTCGCACCGACTGCCAAAAGATAAAGGAAAATAATTTGTAATATTTCCGATTATTTACAATAGGAAAACTAAGTAAATTCTCACCTCATAACTCATAGAAATTATAATTCTAGCATTGGAAAACCTTTACATGAATGATCTTGATCTCGGCCTCAAACGATATGGTTTAAAAAAATTTAGGATTTTAAGCTCTAAATATAGTATATATTATATCAAATTATCTAGACCATGTATTTCACTAAAAAATAAGTGTTCATCCACAAGTTATGTATCAAGTTTTTAGTTTTAAATTTTATTGTCGGTATTGAAAATTGATTTTAGATCAATCATAGAGATTTCTGTTGCCAAAAGGGTTTTCCTGGTGCGGCTTTGAGGTGAGGTTTTATTTTGTTTTCATAAGCCTTAAGCCTTCATCCTTTATAATAATCCAAGTTAAAACGCTATCTTGATGATTGCTTGTTCATAAGTTTTAGCCTTTTTATGCATATCGCTTCTTTCTTTATTCGTTGATCATGTTGAAATTTTCATAAATATACCTTTATAATTTTTTTAAAAAATATTTCTTTTTTATATTTTTGTGCTCATGGCCTTTTTTTTCTTTTTTTTTCCATGATTATTTAATTTCTCAAAGTGGGCTTTGAACTCAAATTTCAAAACTGGGCTTTTTTTTTTTTTTTTTTCAAAGTGACACCAGTTTGGAACTTCAAGTTCCATCTTTATTTTTCTTTTTAATATACTTTGGAAATCCGAAGTTTCAAAACAGGCCTCTTTTTTGTTTTTGTTTTTTTATTGGTTCGAAAAGTTCAGTCCAGACCAGCCTATCACTTCAAGTCCGAACCAGATCAGCTGCAGTTTTTCCATGATGAGTCGGTTTGGAACTTCCCAAACGCTGGCGCATAAAGTAAACCCCTTCTGAATAGACTGCTTGGAGGGATAGTGCTCCCTCGGGGCCACATTGTTGACTTTGCCGGGGATAAAAGACTTGGATCGATAAACTATGTTTTTGTTCTTGGAAAATAGGGCTGCAACTTTATCAAAATAAGAAAAGCCTAAAATTGTAATTCAAGCATTGGAAAACCTCTACATCGGTCATCTCGACTTAAACAATTGTAAAAAAAAATAGGATTTCAAATTCCAAAAAATAGTGTATATTTTAACAAATTATCTAGATCATCTTTTTGCCATAAAATTAAGTGTTCAAAGATCCACAAGTTCTGTACGATTTTTTGAGTTTCAAATTTTATTGTCGATGTTGGAAATTAATTTCATAGCCAACATGGAGATTTATGTGGCCGGAAGTGCTTCCAAACGAGGATTTAAGGTGTTGGTTTTCATAAAACCTAGGCCTTATAGAAACTTCATCATTTGTTCTTTATAATAATTTTTGGTGATATACATTTTGGATGTGGAAACAATTTACAATATGCTGGGAAAGGGATTGCGTTGTGGTGGTAGCACCCCCGTATCTAATTATCACATTGTGGTTTTCAATCCTAATTATATATTAAAAAAAAGTTAACTCCTAATTCATTTGTAAAAAAAGATAGGGTGTGACTCTCCTTTTGAATTATCCAAAATAAAAACTAGGAAAATTTTCACATAAAACCATAATTTCTCATAATATTTCATGGTAGAATTTCATTCTGTTTTTCTTTCTAGCGGTATAAGAAACCCCTAAAGTTTTCACCGTACCTCCTCATCTCTTATCTCCCTCTTTTATTGATTTTTTACCATAAAAATTAGCTCTAACAAATCTTTTTATACTATTTCAACCCAAAATTTTTTTTTACTTTTTTTTCTCTTTTTATCTATTAAAAATATTTTGGGGTTGAAATGGTATAAAAAGATTTTTTAGGATTAATTTTTATGATCAAAAGTCAATAAAAGAGGGAGATAAGAGATGATGGGGTATGATGAAATCTTTAAAGATTTCTTTATGCCAGTTTGAAAGAAAAATGGAAAGATGGTCTATCATGAAATGATATCAAAAATTAAGATTTTATATAAAATTCTTTCTAAAAACAATTTACAATGTCCACATATAGGAGGAGAACACGATGAAAAAATCAAATTGGGAGAGGAGGCGTCTAGTGGTCCGTTTAATGACATCAAATGCACACCTGTACTCTTTTGCTTTTCTACGTGCTAATTTTTATTATATTGTGCTCCTGCAAGTGCATATTGTACACTTGCTCTCACATGGGATTGGTTTAGATTAAAATTTGGGATTCACTTTTGAATCACTAGAGATTATTTTTTAACTAATATATTTTGAATTTTAATCTACATAATTTTTTTATTAGATAATGTTTATAATTTGTTCCAAAGAGAGTACATTGTACTCCCGCCTTTTTAAAGCGCTTGTTTCGTGGCGAGGTGACTTTCTGGATCAATATTTAACTAAACAAAAGATAATTACCCAATCCAAATATTGAAGTTTCGCAAAGGCCTTTCATTGAAAGGACAAGTGATCCAATTCAGAGTTTACAACAACATTTCTTCTTGAGGAAAAGTATATAAAAAATATAATGAGACCATTCATCTTTTGAACCAGGTGGTCACAAGTAATTTTGACCCTTGGATGTGAAATTGAGTGGCTGTATTTATTTCATTGACTAAACTCAAAATTCAAAAGAAATTTTCTCAAACTTTGTGACACACCCAAGCTATCCGATTTCACTTCGGATGGTTGTAAGTAATTGTGACCTCCCTGTATAAAAAGTAAATAGTCTCATTGTATACAATCTTGATAATGAGACCATTTATCTTTTACACCAGGTGATCACAAGTAATCTTGAGCATCATTGGATGTGAAATTGAGTGGTTGTATTTATTTCATTCACTAAACTCAAAGTTCAAAAGAAATTTTATCAAACTTTGTGAACAACCAAGCTATCCGATTTCACATCGGATGGTTGTAAATAATTGTGACCTCCTTATATAAAGAGTAAATTGTCTCATTGTATACAATCCCCTTAGAGAAAAAAACTCTATTTCGAAATAGAAAATTTTGAATCGGAGGTATTTTGAAAAAATTAAAAATTATTTTAAGAAGGATATGGATGTAAAATATAAAAAATTAGAGATATCTAATAGGGATATATACAAAAATTGTATTTTTGTAAATTGGTTTTTTAATATAGTATTTTTAATATTTGGTTTTTTCGTTGAACATTTCAATTAAACTCCAAACAAGAAGCATAGAGTGGGAACATACTGCAGAGACAAAGGGCCAACTACAATCACATTTCAATGTGAGAACGTAGACCACCACCCTACTAGATCAGCAAATATTTGAGTGACATGGTTCAAGAGGGACTCTCCTTTGTTCATAGATTCAATCTTTTTTTTTGTCTTTTTCTATTTTTAACTCAAAATTGTTACACATATACATGGTAAACCAAAAAATAGAAAATCCAAATAAAATAAAATAAAATCTTCAGAAATCAATAAAGCATCCATCTCAACTCCTTCGTTTGCAAGATGATCAGTCAACTCATTCGCCTCTCTAAATACATGCTGGAAATTTATCATCCTTTGATTGCTTATGTCCCTAATTTCCATCCACTTACTTCTCAACTTCCATGGTGATCCTTCAACAATACATGGATACTTCGTAAATCGTTGAAACAAAATACACACACCTTGAAATGCAACCTCTATCTCCGCAGCATTTGCGGTTGTTGTCCCACAAGATCCACCATAGCATAAAAGAACTTCCCCATTAGAGTTCCTGACCAACCCACCATAACCTAATGCACCATGATTCCCATGTGAACTGCCATCACAGTTCAGCTTGATTGTATCAGGTAATGGCGGACACCATACACTTTTTGGACAAACTTTAATCACTCTTTGTCCCACAAGATTAGAAAGATTAATTGCAACATCAATCTCAAACACACCAAAGCCCTCTTTTGTGGCAGATAGCCAACTCCAAATAGTTTGAATTATTCTTCTCTTCACCACACCCATCTCCAATATTCTTCCTTCAAAGACCCTCTTATTTCTTTTCTTCCATATTTCTCTCACAATACCACCGCCTTTGCAATCTGCCATATCTCTCTCTCCCCACCCCATAAAAATTAATAAAATCCCACTTATCCAAAATATGAGCATGAGACTCCAGCATAACTATAGAAACCCCAAGAATCTGAAATAACGAACAACAAATGTTATAAGAAAATGAACAATGGAGAAACAAATGATCACCACATTCAGCGTCTTCTTTACACAACATACACACATTCACCATCACTCGACTCCTTCTGATTAGAATATCCACCATTAAAACTTTGCCTTGAAATAATATCCATAAAAGACTTCGTACTTTCAAAGGTACTAGCCATTTCTAGATATTGTGCATAGAAGCCCAATTCCACCATAGTCTGTCATAAAATAATAACTCATAAGCATATCG